ACAGTGTGGTTTCCTTAACACTATTCCTTGAAATACAGTGAAGCCCATGCAGGTGGGCATAGAGAGTGGCATAAACAGATCTCTGCTGTGATCCCACAGCATTTTGTTCACGTCTCTGGTGAGTTTTTGGTTCTCTGTAGTTACAATGAAGAGGTTGTCTGGAAGCTGGTCCTCCTGCTAACCTGTGTTTCTTCGTTCCTGGGTTGGGTGCTATACATGGCTAATGGCTTAGAAAGTTTGAAGTATATTGTAACCAAGCTCAGAAAAAGCTTCATTTCCTTGGCTGGTGGTGCTGGGACAGCAAAAATTTACAGCGGAGGTATCTCAGGTTTGAGTACCAAATGGAAATTTAGTAGAAGGCCTCTGGTTTTCCAGGGCACGTGCTGCTGTCATGCCTAGGTAAAGGCTGTTCTGGGTGGTGGCTGCCTGAGCTTTGCAGGAGTGATGCTGGGTGCTCTTCCTGGAGGCATCGTTCCTGGAGCCCCTGTTCCAGGAGAAGGCATGTCACTGGAGAGGAAGGGTATAAATCGCAATGAGACCTCTTCAAGGTGAGAAGCTGTAGCGTGGCTCCTGTGTAGCTTTGGAGTGAGCCGAGCTGGGTTTCAGTTGTCAGTTCCTTCCTCTCCAGCCTTCCTGCAAGACTGCGGCCGAAGGAAGGTGTGCAGGGAACAAAGGGCTGAAATAGCTGATTTTATTTTAACTGCCTTCTCTGGCAAGTCAAGAAAATTAAGTAACTTTCCAAAGGATGTTTTTTGCAGGACAGGCAGAATACCTAGAGACAGAAGACTCAATCCATTGTAAAAAGGGCTGTTTGTCAATCAGCGAGACACACCCAAGTCCTCCAGCGAAGCATGTAAGAACTAATCCCTGCTGGTCACTGGTCACTTAAGTTTTCTGTTTGTGATCTGAAAATAGGAGGAACGGCCTTGTAGCCCCAAAGGGACTGTGCCTTACTCTTACTACCAAAGTGCACGTGTGGTGAGAATGTCTTTCCTGTTCTCTGAAACAACTTCAGTAAAACTATCAAACTGTGTATCCTGTAAACGGTGCTTTCTTGGAAGTGCTGCCCCAAAGATGGCACCTTTGGTGTTATGAAGATGCCCCATGGCTGTACAGCTGGTGCTGATATTTTGGTCAGAGATTGCAGATATCTTTCCTGTTTTTAAGCACTGTGCTGAGCGGTGTTAGCTGCAGCTTCACTGTTTCAGCTTTTCGGAGGGTCCCTCCCCCGCCATTTCCCTGTGGAGTTGCAACAACTGCAAGACCTGATCTGTTTTCACATTTAGTTTGGCAAAAGTTGCCTTCTAGTGAATGTGAAAACAGCGCTTGATAAGAAATGCTATCTTCCCCCCCTCCCCCAGGTGAAGAATGTGGATTCTTGCACTTATCTTCATTTTTAATAGTAGCATCTTGGTAGCTGCGCGAGTCTGTTTATGAGACCTTTCTATTGAGAACCTCAAGGTTACCATCACCTGCTCTTCCCTCATTTCACACTTGTGCAGCTGTACGTGGTGTGTGAGACTTATGGCATGGGGTTTGAGTGCTGTGGAACCTTTTCTTCTGGCAAGACAGACCCCTCCTGTGTCTCCTCTTGGAGCCTGCACTATTGACTTCAGTGCTGGGTCATTGCTTTTGTTCCAAGGCAGAAAGGGAGTATCAAAAGACTTGGGGGTATTTTTAAGTTGTGAAAAAGTATAAGTAAATTGCGGCAACAAGAAGTGGAAAACAACCGCCTTTCTCAACAGCTTTCGGACTGTTTCAGACAATCCATGCCTCAGTTTACTGTCATGTTGCGACATTAGGTTGTAACTGCCCAGAAGTGTGTTTCATGCCTGAGGTGATGTCTTGTGGCTCTTCGCTGTATGGATCTGTAGCTGTGACAGTCGTTTCAAATTTTCCTTCAGTTTTATTTGTGCTAGCATCAGGCATTTACAATACCAAGTCTACAAAAGCAGTAGTCAGTAGATTTCCATGATACTGGTTTTGTTGGGTTTGGAGTTCTAATTTTTCTAGCTGTCACGAAAAGCTACTGCCATGAAAAGGCTACCACCATACTAAAAATTCTGCCAAACAGAACAAATATAGGGAAATTAATGTTTGTTCCAAGTGGAACAGGTTCTTCCCGTAACTTATATGGAAGCAAACAGGCGTCATCTTAGTTGCCTCTTCCAATCAAGGCTATGACCACTGGAGTGGCCTTAGGTAACTTCTGTGGATGCTCTCACCAAGAATAAGCCCAAAGTTCTTTCACAGTGTTCTGATGAAGCATGGATGTCTTTGCGTTGACTAATCCTGTTGCTGGGAGGAAAGTTGATTTATGTGTCAGGGTACAGTGCTGTTGGGGATCATTGCAGTCATGGTCAAATGTAAAGGGGCTCCTGGGACGGATTAAAATTTTGTGGTGGCTGTTTTTTGTTTACTTTTTTTTTTAGATGTTCTTGAATTTGCATATGAACTGTATTGTGTTTGCATAAGATTGCTAGCTGTGGTGCTCTTGAGTTAATTGCTTGTCAAGTGGAGTCTGCTGGAAACTCTCCTTGTTCAAGTGACTGGAGGATGGGATACTCTTCAGGCAGGGTCTCCATCTCTGGCAAATGCTAACTCTAACTTCAGAACAGAAGTGTAAAAAAACCCCAATGAAATCCAACCCTGTAATCAAGGTAACTGGTAACAATGATGTTTCTGGTACGCAGAATGATTCAGAGAAGTAGAAATTGTACTTCTGACAGTTTGGCTTAAAAAGCAAATGTAATGAGTAGTGACAAAATATCCAAATACATGAAAACAAAACACTTTAAGCATTCCAAATCTCTAAAGGAATTAAATGATAAATTCGTATGTGCCTTCTCAAAGAGTAGAGCTAGCAATGAAATTTTTAAGCAAGCTTAGAAAAGAAAAGCTTAAAACCTCCAGTAACAACACTTCTGCCATCCTGAGTGCGGATCTAGAGCAGAGAGAAATGCTGTTGCTATCAAAATGTGTGATATTGTCAGCTTTCTCTCTTCCCCTAGAATCTACATAAGCACGTGATGTGAACAAGGGAAAAAAATGCCCTTTTTGACTGATGATAAATTGTATGCCATGAATCACTGTCTAAATAAGATGGCATGTAAAGAAAATTAGAAATCTGCTAAGTTTTCTATGATTCTGGGTATTCGCTGATTAAGTTAAAAGATCCATCTGTACCTAAATACAATTATAGCCCAGACTTCAGTGGAGGAGGAGAAAGCTGAGTTGTCAGATGGAGTACCACTATTTTTCTGGATATTCAACTGTCTTGTGCATCTGCCCCATCCAGTAAAGGCTGCTTGAGAAAGGAGGGAATCACCTGAGATGCTCCTTTTGTAGTCTCAGTTTGTGTGTGCTATGTAAAGGTTGATGTTACAGAATTTTATACCAAGTTTTGTGTTGTCTTGCAATGTCATCTTATGGTTTTAGATGTGGAGGATGAAAAGCTGCTTCTAAGCATGTGGTTATAGCTTGATTTTTTTTTTTTTTTTAAAAAAACCCAACTTGTGGAGCTTGTGGCTTTTCCTGCTGTATTCTTTTAAACTCAGACAGAAGCAGTGTTTTAGGCTGTATTGTACAGCAGTATTTTGACAGTTTCCAGACTACCCAGGTAGTAAAAGGACTATTCCATTGATGCAGGCTTGGTTTACACTAGGAAAGATTGTAAGTATGCATGGATCTGGGATTCTTCAGATACCTGATGACTGCATTCAACTTTCTTGCAAGTTATCCAAAAATGTTGAGGTACTCTTATTTTACATATCTGGCTTTCTCCTGTACTTTCCCCCTTCCTTGTATGCGAAAGGCCTTTGTAAAGTGAGGTGTTGGAGGAGGGTGGTTTTGGTGGACTCTTCAGCAGCTGCTATTGAAGGTAAAGGAGGTGAGGCACCAGCAAAGGTAAGGTGCTCTGTATAACTCCCTTGAAGGATCTGAAGCCGTTGAGAACGGGGATCCAGCTGGCATTTTGTGGTTGTGACCCTGATGAAATGTCTGGATTTTCCAGAGCATAGCCCTTAGGGGGCCAGGGAGGAGGAGGAGGAGGCATTGGTAGCTGAATGGTTTCCAAATGCAGGGAAGATGGGACTGGGATGTGGCATCTGACTGATTCTTCTTAGGGTGATTTGCATTTGAAAGCTTTAGTGAAAATACTCATTGTTTGTTAACTGTTTAATTGTCTGTCGTTATAGCTGAGGGGGTAGGAGAAAGGTGGTAGGAATTGAATCATGGTGGGCTGACATTGCTGTAGGTTTGAAAAGAAAACAAAAAACAAGGAAACAAGGCAGAAGAGTATTTCCCCCCCACATACACTTTTTTCTCTCCCATTGGAATCTGCCTATTTGGCTGTAAGCTGCTTTGATTAAAACCATGCATTTTAATGCATTTGGACAGACCCTTAAAGGAGGGACAGCTGCAAATGTCTGAGTGGCCTTGGCTTTCCTTGGAGACAACTGCCCTCTGACCAAGGGGGATGGCCTTGATAGAAGCAGGTGAACTGGTATTAATCAGGCTTCAGTTCCCATTGCAGGTTTTCTCTAAGCCATATCTTCACCTGTAAGTATGTGCCTAAATGTTCAGAAAGTGAAAATTTATAGAGGCAGCCAAGTGTGATAGTGGTGATGAATTTTGCAGGTTGAAGAACTGCTTAAAGAAGTTACTGTTAAAGTAATCCCAGAGTGTCTGTGTGTCTGTCTTTTTAATGTCCAAAATATCCTTTTTGACTCAAATGATGAACAGCTTTGCAATTTGATAGTGTTTCAATGTGGCTGTCTAGTTATGTTTGTCTCTTGACTTTAGGAATTGTTTCCTGTCATAAAATGCAGAGTAAAACTGATGTACGCTTAGCTCTTGCATTTCTTGGCAGCTGTTCCTTGGAGTAAGAAACTAAACGTTACATTATCTTATCAGTGTGGTCTAGTTATTTCTGCCACAGGAGCATAGGAAAGCCATAATATCACTTAATTTCTAACAGTCTGGATGTTTTTCTTCAACAGGAACTGTTCTCATCAGAAGCAGTAATGGCCAACTAATGCTGGTATCTCAACAAGCAATAGCACGAGCACAGAGTCAGCCACAAAATAACACAAGCGTGAGGCCGTCTGTACCGACCAGCACACCTGCCATCAGAATATGTGCTGTACAGGTAACTTCTCTCATAGCTTTAACTTGATGTAGCTGTATGTTATGTAGTTATAACAGGGTTTGCAAATAAGTCATGGAGGGTTATATAAGCATTTGAATGCTTTCTGAACAGCACCATGGTGGTTGGTTTTGCACATAAACATCACTATGTGCTTTGTTTTCTCAGTTTGAAAAAAACTGCTAGCCGTTACATGTGGTATAGTTCAAATTAAGGAATTCCTCTCTGATGATGATGAGTTAAAGGGTTTTAAGAAAAAAAACCTAAAAAACCTACCAAAGTGGCTACTGCTAGTAACTGCAACCTTGCGATCCTCTGATGGATACTTCTCAGAAGCTGAGTGAAGCTCAGGACCTTTCCCAGGTCCCCAGGATGTTCACTCTTCACTGAGCTCTGCTGGCTTTTTGCTTCCATCTCTTGTAATGTAGTCAGCATACAAGAGGAAGAGTGGGTATTAAAAAAAAAAAAAGCAACCATCTGTATAGGTCTCACCAACGTGCTCATCCTTTAACTGTTTTGTTCTGATTAGGCATTGTGTCTAAATGTCTCTGAATCTGTTCTTGAGTATTAAACTGGTAGACAAATAGCTTTGTTGAATGGTGCTTAAACTATGAGCTATGTGAATGATGCCTGTGTTGTTACTCTAAGACTGGGCATCTTGGTTTATATTAGACAAGAGCAAGCACTAATGTCAGTGTCTGTTTTGTCATTGACTTGTCTGACAACTGTTCTCTGCACATGTTTGGTTTTTGTTTTGGTTTTTTTTTTGAAGAACTCTGGCACCCAGTTGCTAAAGAAAGTAGCAGCTACTCCTGTGAAACCATTATCTCAAACAACAAATGCTGTGGCTTCTACTGTTCAGCCACCTGCTGTAATACAGGTAGGTGGCAAGCTTTACAGTGCAGTGGAATAAGAATAAGTGACAGAACTGAAGAAAATATGGATGTGTTCTTGTTATTTCTAACTAATCTGATTTTCACTGAGCTGGTAACTTTTGTCCTTATGATAAATTCTTTCCTGAATGTCTTTTTTTAAATGCATAATTTAATTATGCTTCTGCCAGCCTGTGTCAGCTCATCGTCTCTCACTGCAGTAGAAAGCACATGAACAATGGATTAAATAAATAGTTCAGAGAGCCATTTCCAGTGCTTTTGTACGCTATGACACAGTTCCTTTAAGGTCTAGCTGACATGTTTCTGGGAGATGGAGACTTCCTAATACTCTCTCCTGTTTGGGTTCCCTGATTCCTTAGGGGCGAAAAAAGTATACCTAGGATGTTGTTGAGGGGAATCTGAGCTGTCTGCACTAGTCAAGCTGTTTTTCAGGTCTACATTTTTTTTTTCCCCTCTTTAAAAACTGAAGGAAGGTCATAGCTGAAAGCCTCTGTTCTCTAATTGAATTTGGTAGACGGGTTCCACAGATATGACTGTAAATATACAGTCATTAGAAATGCCTCGTTATTTTCAGCTAGTGGTTTTTTTCTTATTTCCTAGGTCTTATTTCTCTGTTTCTGGATAAAAATGTTGTAGGAGTCTTCTGAAGAGGCTCTTGCCTAACTGTGGAGTATGAGACTTCTCCTAGATACAGTTCTTCCTCTGCTCTTGGGAACCAGAGTTCTGGATAAGCACAAAACTGCTGCTTTCTACAGCTAAAATATTCTGTTCTCCTCATAACCTGGAGGAGAAACTGGGAAGAAGTCTGGCTTGTACATACCTTTTCTTTTGTGAACAAGAGGCTGAAGGAGACTGAGCAGTAGTGGTTGACCAAGCACTCGGTAAACGAGCAGGATCAGTCATTCCACAACCCATGTTGGATCTATGTTCTTGACCTTGAGGGTGTTTGAAGGATTGGGGGATATGCTTGCTGACATTGGTAACTAATGGTCTTACAAATTTGTCCTCCTGCTGTTCTTCTGTATCAGCAACTGAAGATTACTCACAGCTCTGTCTGTGATCTTTTTTCTCTTCCTTCTCACTACAGATGGATAATGTTGGGGCTAAAGGGGAAAACCTAGAGGCCTCTCAATATATTTTATATTTTGCTTAGAATGGAAACAGCATATGCTTTGTGTCTAAGAACAGTAACAAGTATTCCTTACTTCCTTTTATTTTGGAATACTAGCTTGCAAACCATGTGCTTGTGATCTCTGCATAGATATCTTTAGGATATAAAAGCAATAGTCATCTACTATACTACCCTGACACTGGGGAGAAGAGATGAAGGTAAAGATTTCTTCCATCTGATGGATGAAGCTGCCTGCGTCCTCACACTCTCATGTGGATAAACATTGAGATTCATCATGCTACTAACTTTTCCTTTTTAAACTTGCATCTGCCTTTGACTTGGTTCTTCTCTGCTTTCTTAGTTCAGTTTTGATGTTATCAATTTAACTTGTGTCCTTGTGAGATACTTAGAGGTAGACATGGAGTATTTTTTGTAAGCTTTATTTTTATCCATTCTAGAAACTTGAACATTTCTAGTGATGGGGCTGGACTTAAACAGCAGCAACAATTACTCTAGGGAAAATTAATAGCGCTCTTCTGTTTGGAGTGGCTTCCTTGGAGCCCCTCTGTTTTGCAGAAGATTGCAAAGTTTCTCTTAGAATAAAGAGTAAATAGGTGCAATATGGATACAACCTGCCATCACAGGGCCACTGCACTCCTTCCTCTGGGGCAGACAAGAGAAGAGTGCTGACAAGGGTGTCTGTTCATAAGGTTGCAGGAACTGTCTGGGGAAAGAAGAAAAAGTCCTTGGGTCTGGTTTCCTTGGCAGCAGTTCATTCATCAGTCCCAAAAGAACTTGCTGATGTTAGTCTTGACAATTTTTTGAGGTCACAGGAGAGGAGTGTTGGTGTGGAAGTATGACGTCATCACAAAAAGTGGAAGACAGTGGAGAGGAAATAATCCTTGGCTTGGTTGTGTACCTCCTGTCCTGTGCTATGTACAACTTTGAACACTACTATCTGCAAAACTCTCTCTAATTACTGACTCCAGGATTATTCTCCTCACCTACAGAAATATTTCTTTTTCTTTTTTTTTTTTTTTTTGGCACTCCTGAATGTTTAAGCTCTGATGTCAGACAAAATACCTGCACAGTTTCATTTTTTACCTTCTTCCCAGATGGGGTGACGAAGCTGCGAAGTATCTAATTAGCATCATGCTGGGGCACTTTCATTTAGATGCAGAGCACTTCTTCTCTTGAAATGACTTCAAAATATGCAGGATTAATGCCACTTTTGTGGCGACTGTTTCTCTGTTGCTCGAAGTGAGAATGAGAATTGTCAGTAGTGAAAAAGGTTGAGGGCAGATGACAGAAGTTAATTCCCATATATTCATCTTCCTGGGAAAAGGGTCCAGCAGACTTCCTGTTGTTCCCTCCCTCAGCTGATAAAATGCTGTTCTGGTCTTGATGTGTAAACACGCTGGAATTTGCAAGAGATCAGCTCCCGTGAACCTCATGTTTTCGGCTTTTAAAAGCCCAGGGCATTGCAGCTTGACAGATCTGTACTCTGTCCCCTTCCGTCTTCCTCCCGTCCATCTGTTTGTGGGATTCTCATGCCCAGTTTGCCTCCCTGTGGTCTTAGAGCTGTTGAGCCTCATCCTTGGAAGAGGCAGTGGTGGTGGCAAAGATCCTGCAGAGAGCTATTAAAGTGTTACCAACGGTGGGAGCTTAAGCTGGAAAGCATTCTGGTAGCTGCCTGCTTCTTTCATGTCAAGCTGGCAGCAGCTTGGAAAGGAGCGGGGGGACACCCACCCAGAAAAAAAATAATTTATAAATAAACAGCAAAAGTGTGAGTGTTTGCTTTAGCTTTAAATGTTTGCTTGCTAATTTTCCCTGTCCTGAAAGACTTCAAAGCCCTTTGATATTCTACATGATGTCTGTCCAACTCTTGATTAGTTTTTGTTTTATCCATGGTAGGGTAAGCTGGGCTCTTGTGCTACTATCTTATCATTAATGCAATTAGTAAGTATCAATTTGATTGCTCAAATAAACTCTTCTGTTCAAATGTGTTAAGAGTCAGAGAAAGCAATTGTGTTGCACAGATCTGAACCTAGAATTTGGCCTACAAAACCACTTTCCCTTTCTCTGGAGAGGTTTGGAGGAAAAATAACACCCAACTTCAGGTTTAAAGTGCTAACCTGAAACGCTTTTCTTTTCTGTGACCTGCAGGTTCAATGTGGCTTTTTAGTTTTCAAGTTAAGAAATTGAAAGTAGTGGGTTTTGTAGAGGCAAAGTCTTTTACTCATATTGTATTCTGTTGTATCAGAAGAACTGTGTTGAGTTTTTTGAGTGTGGGGTGGTTTTTTTGTTGGTTTTTTTTTTTTCTACTTCAGATTTTAAAGCAAGAAATACTTGCGTTTAGTAGGTGTTCCTCTGGAAACTACTACTTAGCCAGGTTTGCAAAGGAGAGACACAATCGTGTTCTTACTTTTAACTAAACCTTCATTACTCTTCTGTTGCTGGAACTTCTGAATCTGTTGGTAAATTCTAATGAGATTTTAAAAAGAGGTCTCAAAATAACTGAATTTTGTGAGGGTTTGTGTCTGGGCAGAGGAGAGAGAGAGATCCAAATTGCTGCCCACAAGGAAAAGGCAGGAAAAACTTGGTGTAGGTGCATTTGCTCAGCTGACTGCTTCTGCATCCTTCCAAAGTGGGCATGACATCTTTTGCCTAGTGTGCATGTGGTAAGAAGAGTAAGGGATACTGTAATTGGGAGAGGAGCTGCAGGGGAAGAAGAAAGGAAGATAAGTAATCACTTAAGGTCATATTTATCTTCAGCGTAGTATTGCCTGGCTTAGCGTTGTCCAAAATTCATTAGTCTTAGACTGTAGGAGCCTGGCAAAGTTAATATGTTGGTTTCTTCAAGACAAATTAACCTTTCTCTCTTCGCTTGAAGTTGCAGGCAGTGCTTCAGCCTGGGTGAGCCTTTGCCATTTCTTCCCCCTGTCCTTGTTTTAAAAACAGAATTATGGCTGTGGGAGTTCTGCCACTTACTGTGTATTAAATAGAGCCCCTCAGAACAAATGAATCCAGAATTTAAAAACAGAGATAAAAATAATTTATTTATGTTTTAAATAGTAGCGTGGAGGGAGAGTGCTATTTTGTACGCTAGCAGAATGCAATATGTTTGTCACGTTAGTCTTTGGTTAAAAAGTGTTAATTTTTCTTTTCAGCCAGCAGCTGTAACAGCTAGTGTTACTACAGTTACTGCTGTAAAGCCTTCGAGTACTGGAACACCTGTAAAACTTCCAGTTACAGGACCACCTGCACAAGCTATCTCCCAAAAGGCAGTCTCTGTGAAAGTAGAGGGCACAACAGTAGCACAGACCAGCGCTTCTACAGTAAGGAGAAAAAAAAAAAAAGTTTTTAATTAAAATTAACATTCTCCATATTCATCAGAGGTTGGAGAGCCAATGCAACATCTAACAGTCTTCTCTTTATTTCCATGCTAGGAGATGCTAGAGAATGTGAAGAAATGCAAGAATTTTCTTGCTACGCTAATAAAACTGGCATCTAGTGGACCTCAAGCCCCTGAGATGGGGCAGAATGTGAAGAATCTGGTGCAAAATCTACTGGTGAGACTTCTTTTAAAACAAAGTTTGCATCATTTGTGTATAATTTTTGACATTGACTTCATCATAGTTTTGTTCGAGTTGGATTTGTGGCTGAGTACATCTGACCCTCTTTAAGTCTTATGTTATAATGCTTACTTTAACTGGATCCCATGCTGTATTTTCCCCCCCTCACATTCCTGTTTCATTCTATGCACACAGATAATTGTCAGCAGGAGGAACTGATAGTGTCAACACAGCTTCTGTGTCTGAGCTGCTTTTTTTTTTTTCATGTTAGCGTAGTTTTGAGCCTTCAGTGGCAAGAGTATTACCATGGAGGTTGTAGTGCAGTGCTAAGTCCGTACCACGGCTTTACTCCAAGGCAGAACTGACTGACAGGTTGATAGTGAAGCTCCAGTGGAACAAGCATGGCATTATCAATGTCTTTAGACAATGGGATGGAGAAAACAACGTGGTGGCTGCCAACCTCTCTCTCTCCTTGCAGGTGGCTTCCGTATGCTGCTTCATGCTGTACCCCAGCACAGCTGGGTTTTCTTGGTAACGATTTCTCCTGCCACTTCTTGTCTCAGCATTTGACCGCTGCTGCTGTTTTGTTGTTCCACCGTAGCAGAAGGCTGTGGGCTGGTGGAGGGGGATGGCTTTGCTAGTGGTAGCAAAGGACTTTTCAGTCTAGAAAAGCGTGGTGAAGGCAAGAGGTGCAATTTCAGAGAGCAGATTGTTTAAAGATGCAGGCTTGCAAAATCTTGATTCCTCTGCCTCTGTGTCCCTGCTGGACTATACACCTTGCTTCTGTAGGAAAATACTAGTGTTGTTCCTTCTCATGCTTACATTACTCTTATTTTTTTTTTTTAAGAACAGTTGTTACCAGATGTTGATACATTGTTAACTGTGTACTTTTTTGCTTTTTGTAGTATTTTAAAAATGCTGTTGTTTTGCCATTCAGTATGTGTATATGATTTAAATGTGAATTTAATTCATGTTTTATACATATGAGGGAAATGAGTAAATAGTAACTGTGAAGTAAAATGTTCCTTAAGGCAGCATCTCATGAAACTGGCATCAAGCACCTTGTATACACTGAGATGTAGCATACCAAATCACTGCATCTGTGTCTGTGAGACCCCAATGACCTGTATCCACAGCTCAGTGAGACCTAAGAGGCAGTAGATCAAATGGCTAAATAGGAGAGCTGCTGCAAGTTCTGTTTGTCTGTGAACATACAGTCCTTAAAAACCCTGCTCTGGTCAGGTAGCTCCTTGGAATGGTTGTTCCCAAGACGACTATGGGTGAGAAGAGTAATTTCTCTGCAGAGACAGAGATTGGTGCTGGGGTCCCTCTTCCTTATGTGGCTGTACCTTCTTGGAGGAGGTGATGTTCCTGATAACTCTGTGGCAGGGTCTCACCTGGGGAGGGTGAGAAAGGGCAGCAGTGGCTGGGGCTACCAGTAGCGAGTGAGGGGTCTCAGAAGTCTGCTGCAGCTTCCTAACCCTCCCAAGCCCTTGAGTCAGGTGTTTGTGTTGGGGCAGAGCAGAAAGTATTAAGAAAGGAGACTGTGCCTTGCTAGACAGAGGACTGTTACCTACTGGTATGCAGAAGTGATGTTCTGATGTTCAGTTCCTCCTGCTTTTGAAAGATAATGTTAAAGTGTTCTGCTTTATTATGCTACGTATGCATTAGACTGGAATTGTCTTACAAAAACTACTGAGTTGTCTTTTGTCTCCAGTCTCTTTAAATTGATCTTTATGCAGATAAACTACCTTTACAGAAAAAAAGTACTCCTATTGGATTTTAAGTGCCTCTGCATAACAATGAGGTACTCAAAAGGGTCAGTGCTACTTATAAACTTATTTCTATCAGTTCACTTCAGTGAATGGGTGTTTGAACAAATATCCTTAAGTGTGTTAACTGCCTGTAGTTGAAGAAAGTAATTTAATTTAATACTGTATCTAAATTACAACATCACTCTATCCTAAAACCTTTTGGTTAAAAATACAGGAGGAAAAAAGCATTTGAGTACTGAAATTGAATAATTCTATGGTAATGTAAATTTCCATGAATTTTTGATACATCTGGGAAAAAATATGGTAGATTCATAGTTATAACTTACCACTGTAATTACACTTTCCTCTTAGGAAGCAAAAATTGAACCAGAAGAATTTACAAAAAAGCTATACATAGAGCTCAAGTCATCTCCACAACCGTATTTAGTTCCTTTTCTCAAGGTAAGTGTCTGATTGTGGATATATACTATTTAATGAGGGGAGGGAGGAGGACCAGAAAAGGAAAGAGGCAGAGCGTTCAAATTGGTATTTGCTAAGGTCAGTTGAGGAAATGGTGCTTAACCTAGCCCTGTGTGACTCTTCCTCTTGGAAAGACCATTTTTGGGGGGAGGGAGGATTTCAGAGAAGTAATTTGCACTGTGTTCTTAAATTGGAGAGTAATTACCCTCTAGTTAGTGGAGACTAATGTTTTGGAAGCTGGTGCATCTACAGTAGAGCAGCTATACTAAGATGACTTCTTACTTCCTCATCAAAACTGTAGCTATTTGAGTTGTTATGCAAAGACTGACAATAGTGGCTGTGCACAGCTTAGGCAGTATTTAAGCTCAAAGAATCTACATAAAGCCATTGATCTATCTGTCTGGTTTGTGTTTAACTGGAGGCAGAAAAAAACGTCACCTCTTTCTCGAGAAGGGGTCTGACAGAACTACTGCAGCTTAGCAAAAGTAACCCAGGACAACTCTACCTCCATTCAAGCAAATAATGATGTAAATTAGAAAACGCTCTCTTAACTCTTCTAATTGTATGGTAGAATGCTATTAACAATACAAAAATGAACACCTTTGTTGTATAGAAAGCATTAAATCCCAGTGAAAACACGGAAAACATGGTTACATTTACTTAATTGCAATGTACACCATATTCTTAGGCTTGATAGATTTGTACTTTTCCTTGGCATTCATTATAGTCATGGTGAAGAATCAAGGAAGAATAGTGAAGTGGTAAAGCTGGGACAGAGGTTTTCTGGAGTTTGTCCTCTTCCTTAGTATTTGGCAGCACGTATAACAATGCATGTGATAATGTTGATATTACTTTAGATGGTTGGTGTTAATCTGTTCAAGTGTGGGATGAATAATTTTGTTACAGCGGCAGCCTTTAAATGCTGCTTTGCTAAAAAGTTTGCAATGAGTCTAGAAGGTTCATCTCTGCAGGGCTTGATACAAAATTTTCATATTGGTAGCTCATTTATTCTCAGTTTAATTCCCTGGAGGCTTCTTAAAAGCCCATGCAAAAGCTAGAAAAACAAACAGCTTGGAGTATGGGCTTTTCTGCATCCAGTGCAGCTCTGGCAGCAGGAGGACCGGGCTGTGAGTGCAGGGTCAGTGTGACTGGCAGAGGTTTCCTACGAGCTGCACAGAGTCTCAGCAGAGCTCTACTCACTGCCAGGGCAAGTTTGGCTTCCAAAGTAGCGTAGCTGCCTTCTGCAGGGCCCTGGCTGATGAACCCTGCTGGATGTGAGCTGGCTGCTTATGTGTGGGGCCAGCTTAGGTGCTGTTGTGCTGTGTTCCCAAAACGGTGCAGGTGAACCTCAGTAGCTCCACACAGACCCAGCCTAAGTCTGGCACAGCTAGACTGCATCAAGGGCTGGTGAGCCCTGAGAGCCCCGGACTTGTTGGCGCAGAGGAGCTAAGCCAAGGGGTGTCTGTGCAGCACTTGCTAATGTTGCTACCCCTTTGGGTCTCCCAGGGGTTTATGAGCTCTGGCACAGCCCTGTCCTCCAGAAGTGCTTGGCCTGAGTTAATAAGCCATCCCACAATGTGGAGAAGCTGCACAGATGTCAAGGTGTTTCCACGGGAGTTAAGCTGGGTTCATCAGTGTGGATCAGACCCTGACCCATCACAGCAGAGCTGTTGCACGGTTTTCCTGTGACATTGCTGCCAGGTACTGGTATCCTCTAGGCTTTTCTGGTTTGGGCAGAAATACCCCATAATCCTTAAGGAGGTCCTCTTTCCTCAACAAAGAAATACTGGGACTTCAGAAACATTGTTTAGACATTGTCACGGTCAAAGTTAGCTGACTTTGTAGTGTTACCTTTAAAACTTCTTGCACCCTATTTGCTTTTTTCTGAAATACCTTAAGGGTGTGTAGTTGATACACAGTGATTAGGTCTGGTCTGTAACTGAGCAGCTGCGACAGGACTGAGTACCAACTGGAAGGTGACTTTAGGAGCACTTCTCTAAGGTGCTATGAGGATCAGTGCTGGCCTTGTTTGTGGGGTAATGCTTGCAGCTCGAGTCTGGAAAGAAATGTGATACGGCTTGTCGCCAGTTCACTTTTAACTAGTGAAGTGGAATTGTAGGGAGGACTCTGGAGTTGTCTCTTATCTTTGAACTGCAGGTTTTTGACGGAAGTTGTTGCGTGTGTTTTGTTTTGTCTGTTCCAATAGGTGGAAAAGTACGGTGACTTTGGCTGTAAAGTCTGCTTGACTTTCAAATCTGTGCTGGATGCTTTTGGTAAATAAATTGTATCAGAAGCATGAGGAAAGCTGAGCAGTCTTTTAAAAGAAAAGGAAGTGAATGTTAAAGATAGGTGTGCCACAGAAAGTCTAGACATCCAAACAATTTGTTCACTCGGTATATCAGCATGTGAGAGTTGTTCCTTTTGCATGAAGGCCAGAGCAACAGCACTGTGCTGGAGACTCTTGCAGACTTAAAGAACTGTTGGGGGCAGATGAAGGTTTGTGAGACTATACAGGGAGCTACAGAGCTGATTTCCCCTGGTTCTGAGCCATACCAGATTGTAAATAGTCAAGGAAAATAAATATGTAGAAAGCTTGAAGATTATTCTGTCCGTTAACGTTCTCAAGCATAGCTGTAGTAAAAATGAGATGTTGCCAGGTACCTTTACTAATGTTCTCTTGTTGCAGAGAAGTATCTGGCTTAAGTTGTGCTGCTGCAGCTATGTAGGCATTATTAAAGTGGTATCCCCCCCTAGTGTAGATACAGCTGTATTGGTATAGAAGTGCTCCTATCTTCAGAGCTTATTTCTGACTTTATTGGATAATTTGTAGTTCTCTGTCAGACAGGCTCTGTGGAATAAACACAGCTGTTACAATATAGGAGGGGGTTTTGGCAAAATAGGTTTGGGGGTTTTTTTTGAGGTAGTAAACCAGTTAAAATGGTCTTTTTCTAGAACACAAATTTCAAATTGAAAAATTAAACAAAACAACGCTATGGGTGAGCTTCCCTACAGATGGGATTTGCTATGTGCAGTGAAGCCATGGTGACTGTTGGCCTTCGCTCAGCCTGTGCTGGTGATTCTTGTGGTCTTCACTGAACAGTATTGTCATCGATTTAAGGGTGCCTGAATTCTAGCAAAACTTGTTTGGAATAAGCAACTTATTGTCTCATGAAAAATTCAATTGGCAGATGAGGAAGAAGATTCAGTTGCTAACGTATCGGTATTGTGGAAGACTCTGCTGATGTTACATCCAGTGTCTTTTTGTTTTTCTTCTAGAAAAGCATGCTTGCCTTACGGCAGCTAATGCCCAATGCTCAGAGTTTTATCCAGCAGTGTATGCAGCAGCCAGCTCCAACCCAAGAAGCTGTTTCAACTTGTACCTCTGCAGCACCAGCTCCTTCGATAGCAGTGGCAACCTCACCTGTAGCAACAACTTCTCTTCCAGTTGTAAAACCAGTGTCTGCCCCTGTAACAGTCACGGCCTCGCCGGTTATAAAACCAGTCCTTGTCAGTGCGTCGGCGACAGCTTCTCGGCAGACCGTGAAGCCTGTTCCTGCCTCTGCAGTGGTGACAGCATCTCTTCGGCCCGCAGCTTCAGTCATCACCACAACAATAGCAACGTCAGGGATGACTGCTATCCAAACTGTCAAGCCAGTCTTCGCCTCTGCGGTAGCAACGTCCTCTCTGCAGCCTGCAAAGCCCATGCTGGTCTCTACAGTGGCATCTTCAGCAACAACCCCTCTCCAGCCTCTGAAACCAGTCATTGGAACCCCAATCAGTATTAAAATCTCACAGCCAAACTCCATTGTTGCACAGTCAGTGGGTGCTCAGCAGGTGGTTAAAGTGAAACAGTTGGTAAGATGAATTTCTCTGCTTCTCTGTAACTGGGCTTCTTGGCTTTCACTCTCCCCATTTTGTCAAGAGGATACAAATTTGGATCTTAGCAGGGTTTTTTAATGTACAAAGCTAGTCTGTCATTAATCAGTTAATCAGTTACATTTGTCATAGTTAGGGATATTGAGCTCTTGCTGAAAAGGTGAATCTAAAGCCAAACTATAAGCTCGGTCTCTTGCAAGATGTGCTGACCACCGTTCCACTAGACTGAACATCCAGCTTGAGACATGAGGGAATGTGAGTTCTGACCCCTGCAATGCATGCAACTAGGCTAGGTTGGCATCTGAAAAAAAAGACAGGAAACACTTGTGTCAGAAATGGAAATTGCTGATGAGGTGCTTATGTTAATTACTATTAGATGCCCTGTTAGGACCATGCCTCAGCTAGCTGCCAGAGATTCCAGTCTCTAGCTTGGTAGTTCCTACCCTGGATACTTTGTGGGCACAAGTGGCTTGGTGATGTTTAGTCATATGTTAACTGAAATGTATGAACTAGCTCAAGGAGCTTTTCAGAGCAGAATTCTGACCTCCACGTTTACTAAGACATGTTAATTATGAAATCATCCAAAAGTGAGCTTTTCCTATCAGGCCTCATTAGCTAACAAATTCCAGGAGGAATAAATGTCTTATTAAAACAATACCCTCAAAAGCAATGTGTTAACATTTTTTTCTTGGCACAGGTTAACTTCTCGCTAATGTTAATGTTAAATAGCAACAAACTGTGGATCACAGGTAATACCCAAAAGAGCAACGCTGTGAAATACATGAGGTTTGGTTTATGGGTGTTTGAGATACTGAGCAGTATGCTGTCTGACTGGTGTACTGCAAGTAATGTTCTCAGGTATTTTGAGAGAATAGTTTCCCTTTGGCAGATAAAGAACTTGATTCTTGAATAGGGCTGCCTTGTAAATATTTGTTTCTTAAAAAGAGGGGAAAACATCAGACTTCTTATGAAGCTAGATTTACTTTCCACAGGGATAGTGGGGCATCTAGTGTGTGAATTTCCTTTGTAGTTTGTGTATTGTGTATACTTGATTTAACAGTATTCAGACCCCTAAAACATTTTGCTTTTTTAATTTTCTTCCTTTGAAAGTGCATAAGGTGGATGTAATACAAGAATCATGCATTCTAAGTGAAGAGTTTATGCTACCAGCTTTTCACCTTTTCAGACTTGCTTAAAAAGAACAAAGCACTCAACTGTATAGAGGGGATGCGGGTGGAGGGGGTGGGTCCTTTTTATGAGTGGGTTTGTTTTAAAAACGAACAGTTATCAAGCATATGCACTGACAGTCTTTGATAGAAGTAGTTGAAGCCAAATTGGAAAAGGAGTTGGTACCCTTACTGTCTTTGAGGACTAAATTTAGAAATTCCAGCCAGAAGAAAATGAGGGGTTTTGAGGTTGTACAAGGGCTGGAGAGCAGTTTGTTGGCTATGCAGCAAGCCATGTATTCCAGGAGAAAGGTTGACCATCTGCACAAATAGATGAGGAAGCTTAACTCCGCACTGGGGAGTAGAAACACGTCTTGAATATGGTATCGGTAAACTCAAGAAGCGACTTCTGCCTTCTCCACTGCTGCAGTGTGGCAGCCTGTTGGAATTGCTTTTCTTTGCAGTGCCTTGCAAGCACTGAACTGCATACAAAACATGCTTTTATCCTCATTTGGGTAGATCCCAGGCATGGTGATTAAAATACTTGCTCTTCAAAATACCTATTTAATTCTGGTCTTGGATGTGGTTGAAGGGCTGAGTTGACCACTTTGCAGCTTAGCTGTATCAGGAGCCTGGTGTTTGTTCAGGCAACCTATTAGCACAAAGAGCAAGTTAGAAGTGGCTGCATCTTCTAGGGCCTCCCTGGTGCATTTCCTTGAAAGGACAGAGGGTCTGTTTCCTCCCACAAGAAAACAAATCTGGACCTCCCCTCCCTAAACAGAAGGGTCCTGCTGCCAGCTGAAAGGAAGCGCATGCCAGCTGTGCAAATCTGTCCATACAATGCTGCCAGCAATTTCTTTCCCTTTCCAGCTTTTGGGGTTGTCTGATGCCATGCAATCCCTCTCTGCGTGCCCATTTCTAATTTAGGTCTCTTGTGCTTGAGGAGTGTAAAGCAAGCTTTCATGTGCCAGCTCTGAGGTAACATTGGTGTTACTTAAGAATGCAGTACTGCAGTATTTTAATATCAAAATTGTGACTGGAGTGATGTAACATGTAACTTATCTTTTTTGTGGCATTATTATTGAAACTCCGGGTTTGTATGGTGAACACAAAAGGACCTGTTCTTCAGGGATGCTGTTGGGGTTGATGGTGCGCCTGTGCTGTGACTTGCACATCGAAAAAGGTTCCCTCCTGGTGACTTTCTTAACACAGCCTCATTTAAGGGCATCACTGTACACAGAATTTCCATCTTGGAAAGAAAGCTTGTCTTGCTGTAGTATTTCTTTGTCTCTTGTTAAAGTGCAATAAATGAAAATTTACATTACCAGCCACTGGCTTCCAGTGGTGAGAAAGCTGCTGTGAGACTAAAACATCATGTGACACATAAAGAGCAAAAGGTGTTGTCCCTGCAATTACCCATGAGACATGTTCCCTGGACATTGCTAGCAGTTGAAGCAAGGAGTCAAGTGCTTTTGCTATTCCAACCACTTGTTCTTAGTGAGTTGTTAGTGTTGAGTCCCCTCAGAGCTGAGCTTTCTTGAGCAGAGCATCTCCTCTGTTATTTTTCCAAGAGCTTTTTGTCCTGGATATATGCTTTTGCATTCAGCTGGTGAGGCTTTCTCCATGAAGCAATACTGCTTGTAGTGTGTGATGATACCTTACCGTCTCTCCGCTGATCTCCAAACTTTGCTTTATGAATGCAAAACAGGTTCAAGTAAGGCTAATCAAAGTCTCTCTCTCAAGCTGCTGTCCCTATGCTGTTGGCTGGATGTTGCATTGCATTTTTTTTTACTTAAGAGTGTTGGTGCTTTTTATTTTGATGTCTCTGTCAACCCACTTAATGGGGCACAAAGGAACAGTCCCTTTTCTTTATTGCTTCTTGCTGCTAACCTGAAAAAAAGAGGCACTAGCTCTTTCTTACAGATATTATCTCTTTTTAAATACTTTTTTCTGGCATTAGATCCTTGTCGAAATTTCTAGGATTGTTGCCCTGTTCTGTTGCAAGTCTCAAGGACTTCCAGCTTTTGTTAGTCTATCAGCTAGAGTAGCAAACACAGATCAGCTTTACTGCTAGCACATCCTTTCTGTTTCTCGTTGATCTAGTCTCCTCGGTTACTTGACTGATTTCCCAATGCTCCACCTAGGCTATTGATTTAACACTGCCTACCTCTGTTCTTTTTGTCTGCTGCACCTTCATCTTGAATGCTTATGTTTCCTCCTATGCTGTTTTGGTGTTTTGCATGCTGAAGATGAAGCATCATTCTCACTGGTGGTAGGGAGGATCTCTAGGTGCATGCTGGTGTAGGTGCTGGTGGAGGCCATGAGTAGTTTGTCCAGGATGGTTGGTGGCTCAGTAATTAACTGAACGCTGGTTTTGGCTGAGATAGTTAATTTTCTTCCTAGTAGCCGGCATAGTGCTGTGTTTTGGATTTAGTACTAGAAAAATGTTGGTAACACACTGATGGTTTAGTTCTTGCCGAGCAGGGCTTACACCAGTCAAGGGCTTTTCAGCTTCCCCTGCTCTGCTGGGTGCACAGGGAGCTGGGAGGGGGCACAGCCAGGACAGCTGGCCCCAACTGGCCAAAGGGCTATCCCATGCCATATGATGTGATGCTCATTTTACTTCCCCCACTCAGATTCTCTCCCTGTCCCACTGAGAGTAGGGAGAATGAGCGAGCAGCTGTGTGGTGTTCAGCTGCCTGCCAGGTTAAACCACAAGAACACATAAATGATGCTGTTGATGTTGTTTGCAACTTCCAGCGTGTGGAAGCTGGATCTTTCCTAAAGATCAAACTGCCCTTTGGTAACAACACACAGAAGCAAATGTTAGTGTCTGTACTGCTCCATGAGGAAGCGCTGCGTGTCCTGCGAAGCCCTGACTGTCCACAGTCACCTGTAGTCCACCTGTATTCCTGTGGTTCTTTCCTCTTATGGATTATACGTTTCTTCTCAAGAACTGTCTGTTGTCTGGTTTTTAGACACCACCTTCAGCTCGCTTATTCTACCTTACTGCTGCTATGCCAAACCATGATGCTGTTATTATGGGGATGGGTGGGGTGTATCTTGACTATTTGATACACTATTTGATACACAAAAGCTGTGTGATGCTTATGCTGATGGTGTTTACTGATAAATCTGAAATTAGATGACAGAAGCAGACAGCCTAATTTCTGAAGTATGTTGAATGTCAGTTCTTTATTTAATTAAACTTATGCTGTGTTGCTGTACAAGCACTCTTTAGACTTCCTGAAGTTGGAATAAAAGATGTAGAGGAGAAAAAGTCATTTCTTGATCCTGAAAATTCCTTTGTATTAGCTTTCTGCTGCTAAAAAAAAATAGCATTAAATCTGAAGATGTTTATAATTTTGCGCTTTGGTAAAAGCACATCTTTCTACTACTTGTAATCAAGAACTTTTCCGAAGGATGTATCAAAAGCTGCAGCCCACATTCTGCTAGCCAGGAGGCTTAGAAATGAGGCTTTTAGGGATGCTGCAATTTTATTACTCTTTTGCATTTTAATAGCTGCCCCTGAAGAGGAAGAATTAGTATTTATGGGCTGTGCCTGTAGGTCTGTGTTGTGATGACATCCTGCTGTCTGGTTTTGTTTCTTTCAAGAGCCTCTTTAAACAAAATTATCAACCCCCTTCCTTTTTACCCTTCAGCAGCATACTGATGGGTTTGTGTAGAGGCTCTACTCTAGGTGTTGCTAGTTGGTACTTCACGTTCCTGCTAACTGATGTGTTCAGTGTGCTTTTGGATAACACTTCGAAATGCGGCGTCTCAATCTACAATTGATGTTGTGGCTCCAGAAATGCATTAGTAACTTTCTAGTGTGCACTCTTAATTCTTGACAGGAAAAGGATTTCATGCAAGACTTCTAACTGTTTGTTTTGGTGTTCTGGCTTTTTAACTAGGTGTATGTGATACTTACCCTTTTGAACTTATTGGCAGGCAGACTCAATATTCAATTGTTAGTCTGTTAAGCAAGACTTAGGGAGAGGAAAGCCTCTTAATGTAATGGCTTGTGTAATACTGAGTGAAACTCATCTCATATGGTTATCAATAAAGAGTAGGGGTGAATTGTCTGTTAAAGCTGGAGCTTGAAGCTCACGACCAGTTGTTAGGATTTCTTGTCATGAAGTAAAAAAACCCAGAAAGTGAGGTTTTTCTGAGCATGCTGTTTGCTTTAAACTGAAAGCTAGACATGCATGCATGCCCAGCGGCGCTTCTGGCTGAATGGACATGTTGATACGATTTGCTTCTATGTGTGTTTAGCTCTTCTCACTCTTGATATCGGGTATTTTACTTCCAGGTAGTCCAACAACCATCAGGAACCATTGTAAAGCAAGTGTCCACACTCCCGCAACCCTCAGCGCTGACCCTACAGACATCTGCTGAGAAAAGGATGCCGCTGAATACGCTTGTTCAAACTAACCAGTTTCCTGCAGGTAAAGTGGAACCTCTTTAATGGAGAAGGGAGAGGACTGCTGAGGTATAGAAATAAATGCTGGCTGTTGGTAGATTGTAGGAATGTAAGAAGGTAGCTGTATATCAGGAGCAACCAGCTCTGTGCGATAAGCTGAACATCTTTGCTGTCTGCTTGGAGTTCTGATGGGAAACTCAGTGCCATGTCTACTTCTGGCACCTGTTAAAAGCATGTCAGTCAAACATCTGTACTTGTTAAAATACTGCAAGTAAGCTCCTTGCAGTGAACTTCCTTTAAAGCGTGATGCTTTTGAGAGTCATTTCATGAGACAGCTTTTTCCTTCAAGTGGTCCAGGTTGATGCATAAAGTGAGTTTGTCTCAGCCAGCCAGTTTGCACTAAAACCTTTCACTGGTCAGCACAGAGGAGGATGTTTGCTGAGAGCGTGTAGGGTGTTTGGCCATACAGAACATGCAGAATGTAAGGCTCTAGAGTGTCTGGTTTTCCGATGGACCTAATTAGTTGCTATTGAGTCTACAATAGCCTTTGCTAGATGTATGAACTGGTTAAACAGTTGTCTTAGCATTTTGCTTTCTACTATGGCATGTTCTTTGTTTTGTTTTAGGTTCCATTTTGAAACAAATTACCCTGCCAGGAAATAAAATTCTGTCGCTTCAAGCATCTCCTGTTCAGAAAGCTAAAATAAAAGAGAATGGAGCAACATCCTTCAGGTAAAAATAAACAATATCAGAAGTTTGCTATAGGAAGGAACAAAAGGAACAGCCAGCAAGTATGGAGCTGGGAGCGGAGCCCAAATAAAAGCAACTTTCTTCAGCAACTTGTTTATGATAGGTGTTTTTCATGTTATAATACTAATTGGCAAGGGAGACTCTAAAAATTTTGACCTCATAGCAGATGTTAATTATTCTTAATATAAGAAAACTGTCCTGAGTAGGTTGGATTTTCATCATGCTATCACAAGAGTGTAATTATGTCATTACAGTGTGCATCAATATGTATCAGGTTTTTTACTTGTAGAGGAAGCATTTTGATCTCCATCCTGTGAGTACTATTAACTGATCTAAAGCAAAATTACCTTGTATTAAAAGCTCTTCATAGGTTAAAGTAGATATAACCTCTGTTTTTTACAGATAGCTGGATAGCATTGAACTGTTATTTGGACTAGCTGGTAACCTGTCTAAAGCTCTGTGCTGTATTTCAAAATCTTTTATTAGCTCCTCTTACAAGCTTGTTCCTGTATGTAGAGGTGAAAGTCTTTGACTACACATCTAATTATGGCTTCTGGCATATTCTCTAGGCCTTTAGATTACAAGAGTGCTTAAAGCTTTTAGTTCTGGTAACTGATTAACTTTTCAAAAGCAGAAATTATTTTTGTAGCTCTGAAATGTAATGTTGGAAGCGAGGTACGGACTGCCATAAGCATTATTGGTCTTATGACTTTAAGGCAAGCTTGAAGTTGCTCTTCCAGGGATAAAAGCAGACATGAGACCTTTGTCTTGTTGACCAGTTGACTTACCATCTCTTGAAAGATACAACTTTGTGTGCACTGATGTAGACAGCTATACGTACAGTATACACTTAAAACACTGGTAGCCATAAGTTGAAATGAAAAGCTGATGTTACAGCAATAGCTCTGTTCAGCTGCCTCAAGCTCTTATGAAATATACTTCAGAATATAATTCAGGATGTAATGTTAGGTAGTGATCTTTGGGGAAAAAAAAAAATCACCTCATAAATACCATAATTAAAAACCAAACTCACTCCCACAAAAAAACACCCAATTTTTTTTCCTGTGGTCTTCCGATTGGAATATATCAACTGCCTTACATGAAAAAGTTTGAATTCTTGAAGTTCCTTCCCTGAATTGTTAAATTCTTAGTGAAGGAAAAACGCTGCTCTTACAATGTGATCCAAGAGGGATTCCTATTCTTCCTTTTGGATTATGATTTTCAAAGTAGCTTGGTCCATGAGAATTCAGATTTGAAATCTCTAACTCACATTTTTCTAGTAAGTCTCTATTCACTGCTATAACCAAACTTTCAAGACTTGAAAAACTACGTATGTGAACCTTCATAGATCTGAACCTGGGCAGCGTGTACCTGAACTCTTGGCTTCCCTCAGTCAAGTATCTGTGTCCTCTGAATATGTCTAGCACCACAGAGTGTTAATCTGGCCTGTGCAATAGATGTTCCCCAGTAAGCCCTGAAGTGGCTTGCTCTCTTCTGTCCTGACTTTCAGTATTCCCAGCACAGCTATTCTTTGTGACCTGTGATCCATCAACTGCTGATCATGTGCAAGGCAGACAGAAGCACTGTGGCCCTCTTTGTTTTGGGCAGAGAGCATGTCTTCTAATTGATGTAATTGTACATGTGACGCTTCAAACTGGGGTGTCTCATTGCAGTATGTCATCAAGCCTGACTCCCTCTGCCATGTGTGACTAGGTTAGGTTAGGATTCAAGAATGTAATACTCACTAAGCTGTACTTAATAAGCTGCAGTTTGACCTTGTCTGCTCTCTGGTGGGCTGTTTTAGGTTGCTTGAGATTGCCCCATGGCATGTATTGTAAAGGGCAGTCTGTTTTAAAAGCATCAAGACTTTATATTATAAACTGCTCTACATACTTCTGTAAAGTATACGCAAGAGCACCCTGGAGAAAACAAGACACATAATTGCATCTTCAATTATTTGTTTTGCATCTTTTCTACTTAATAGAGTTGTTCTCCAAAAGCACATACAACTCTGGCTTGTGCATTTTGTCTGCAAGGTCTTGCAAGCTCAACTAGCAGACAAACAGGAGTGAGACAGCAGAGTGGAGAACATCTGGGCAGCTGCTCCTCCTGTCCCGTGACGGTGGGGAGCACTGGTGGTTCTTGCTTCACTGAGCAAGTTTTGTCCCACATAGTTGTCTGTGATGGTGCACGGAGGTTTGGGTTAAGCGTGCCTTTCTAGTTTTCCCTTTGACTTTGGTATAAAATGGAGTGAATAAAGATGGATTCAGAAAAAAGACATGTGCATCGGTCAAACACCAGAGGGTGCCACAGACTCATTTTTCAGCCAATACAGACAAATTCATAGGTGCATCTGCATTGCTTGGGCTTCTTTTCCAGTGGAATACTCAGTTAAATGTCAAATCTGACTTCATGCAGGGTAACGCGCAGAACTCTGTGTTCTCTTTTACCCCTTGTCCTGATAAGCTTAAATCACTGGAGATTTATAACAGCTGGGAGAATTTTTCTTGTTGATTTCTGGGTGTGACATGAGCAAATGCAAAAAACATTGAAGGAAGTGGTGTAGAAGAGGGGCTTTATGGAGGATTGCTGAAAATGAAAGCAAGTCAGTATCCAACAGAAACATCTGCATGTATACTCAGGAATATTTTAAATTTATCACTTTAGTAGAATGATTTTTACAGTTTACTCAAAGTACATGTTACACTACTTAAAATGATGGAGGTTTGTTTAAACGGCAAGGAAAAAAGCATAGTAAAAAGTACAAACTTAACATGTATGTTAAGTGTGAAATATGAAGCTTCTGAAATGTACATTAAACTTTAGTGAGCACTACTTCTTAAGGAAATGTAATGATAGTTTCTTTGGGTTAAATAACATAAGTGCAGCACTGTTTTCATAGGTGCAAATTAACCTTTCATCAAAGCTAGTGACTTGGTGACTTAACGCAAACTTATATCGCACAGCAAAGAGGTTAGAACTGGTCCTTAAAAACAGTACAGGTAGAGATATCTACTTGCATATAAGCTCTTGTATGTGTGTAATCACGAGAAAGGCTGTGTGCATGGAAGTAGTAACCTGATAAAGGCTGTGTTGAGAGAACTGAAACTTGTGTATATAGAAGGGTGGATAGATGTATAGTAGTGAACTTTACCTCCTCCTTAGTATTGTATCCTCCTAAGTATTTGGGCTATGTGGCCAGATTAAAAGCTAAAATGATTTACTGAAACTGTGTGCTATACAGTTGTACCTGAGGTGCAAACATCCTTGGATTCCATAAACAGCTCCGTCGGGGTAATGTCAGGTTCCAGCACCTGCAGCTCTGCTAGCTTGTGATGTGTACATTCTTGGTGCTAGTTGTGCTGATTTTGTAATCTCCTTTATCAGTAGATTCGTGCCAGTCACTGTGCTTTGGTGGGATTTTTGTCTCTGCCAACAGCTAAGACTTCTCCAAAGTGGTCATTAAAGAAGAGGAGCCTGGAGTGTACTTGTGAAGACCAGTTAGCACTCAATTAGCATGCAGTGAAGCTTCATTTACACGCTTCTTGAAAGATCAGGGTCTCTTGTTAGACTGATAGAGCATGAGTATACGCTTGGAACTGCTCAGTGAAGGGGTGGGAGGATGGAAGCTGTTCTGTCAGAGGTGACTTCAGCTTTGAATCGTAACTGTGGTCACCTAACCATTCTGACAATCCCAGAGTTTAACACTTTTCTTAGCATGATGGATTTGGGGCACAAGCCTACTTAGAAAGCTATGTCTAGTTAGACTTAATGAATGAAGCTGGTTTTAAAAAATTTTTGGGTCTCCTTTTCTTTGAACAAATCACATAAAGTCCTAGCCATGAGGGCATGCAAACGAACAGCAAGAGGAGTAGGGGAAGGCTGGACTCCTTTCCTAGCCATGCTTCTCTGTAGAAGTTTGTGGGAGAAGACCTGTGCCATAGAAACCTATTCCTATTCTCCCAAAGGAGAAAATGCATCTATAGATTAAGAAAAAATCCCAACACTTTATTGTGTCTTTTGAGTACTGCTCAAATCCAACCCATGTTCTAATAACTTCACCTTCTACCTGTTGCCAGTCAGAAGATGGTCTGCCAGAGATCTCATTTCACCTGAGAATGGCAAATTTCTGACTAATCCCTTCTTAAAGATTTATTTAGGCCACGTGGTATTTTCCGAAGATGAACTTTATCAAACCTTGCCAGCAAATACTTTTGAGGAAGGGTGTGTGTGTGGTGTTGGGGTTTGTTTTCTTTTGTTTTCTAAATCAAAAGACCTTCAGATTGAGTGCTTCCACCTGTCTGTATTAATAATGCCGGCTTATGTTCTGGTTCTAAACCCTGGAAGCCACCATTACGGCCTTTGTTGCTTTGTGAAGCAAAAAAGGCTTTCTTTTGATGATTTAAACTTAACTGAAAGTAACTTGGGTATTTTCATTGCTAAAGTGTTGCAAAAGCTTTTCCCATAAAAAATTAATTCAGTATTTTAACTAAAATTATTTAAAAAAAAACCAAAACCTAAGGCACACAGGCTATTTGCTTAACATGAGCTTGACCATGATTATAGCTAGTCTTAGTTAGTTAGCCCTAAGTACACCAGATTTGAGTTTTTATTTTAAACATGTAGAACAAAGCTGCTACAGCAGAATCCAGCTAATGGAAGGATGTTAAGAACTAGAGCTCTGCCGCTGTTTCTCAGGAGCATAGCATCCTCCCCGCTACGTACATAAGTACTGTTTGGTAGGATTGATTCAAAGGGCAAGGTCTGGTTGGTTCTGTATACTACTGACAAGGAGTGTTTGTATCTTACTTTTTAAAGGAGCTCACTAAAAGAAAAGTGAAGATCAGTTTTGTGCTAACATGCTTGTGCTGTTACCTTCTCAGAAAATGGGCTTGTTTGTAAATTCAATGAGTCAGTATTCAGCTTTATTCAACACTTGGTTATACCTGGTGAAATAGAATTTTAGAACAAATTTCAGGCTCTAAGAGTGGTGGTGTTTGGGGGGCTTGTATGGACTTTTAATCCAGGTTTACCTCAGTCCTTGTTTTCTGAGCTTGCTCAAAATTTCAGTTTCGTGCAGAGGATTTGCATGCCTAGTAGCTGAGGCGTTAGTCAAGCTAATGTTTGAGAAGCACTTCGCTGAAGTGTGAAAGCTTTTAGGAGCTGTCTTTCCTTATCCATGCCCAGACTAAACATCTATCATATAGGGTTAGCCTCCAAGATAAGTGAATGTCGTGGTCTTTTGATAGTCGAGAGGCTTTTTCTTTGTATCCATTCTGAAGGAAGCATAAGATGTTGGTTTTCTCTTCAGTAGAGACGAAGATGACATAAATGATGTGACTTCTATGGCGGGGGTCAATCTTAAAGAGGAGAATGCGTGCATTTTCGCAACAAACTCTGAGCTCATCGGTACAGTGATCCGCTCTTGTGCAGATGAACCTTTTCTCTCCTCGGAAGCACTTCAGAAGAAGATCTTGAACATAGGTGAGAACAAAGCATATGTAACAGATATGTATGGATGCAGTATTCCTGTTTCATTAGCCAGCCTCCAATCTTTGAAGAAGGAGCAGGAATTATTAAGATCTGCTATCTCAATTCATGTGTTTCTACCAAACTATATTGAGTTTTTACTTCCCCTTCTAGGAAACAACTGTAAAAAAAAGTTTTTTTACGTGGAAATAGTCTGAAGCCCAACCAGAAAAGAGAAACTGGTGCCACTTCTGCATGTGAAAACTGAGCAACTTTATCACTCTTAATGGAACACATAATGACCATACAGATGCTAGTGTCAAATCAAACACCTAAGCGTGCTTTTCTGTTTCTGTAGCTTCTAACTTGATGTATTATACTGACTTTCCTAACAGCTTTTGCATTCCTCAGCCTGTTCACATATATACTCTATTGACCAACGTTACAGATCCTGCCCGTGGGATTAGGAAGAAGTTTCAAACTGCCAATATGCACGGGGCAGACCTTTGTTTATGACTATGGAACAACCTTGCATTCATTTTATGCAAAAGGGATGTTAAAGCTGTTTGTATCTGTGCATAGTACTGTGGACTGTGTGTTGAATGGCTGAGACTAAACTGTAATAAGTTTTTACTGTACGTATCATCTCAGCTGTTAAGTTTCTCAGCAAAAGAACAACTGTTGCTTAGCAATGTTGTATTATGTCAGAGCAGGGAGCATGCATTTGTATAGCACTACACTGATGGGTACCACTGCTGTCTACAGCAAACTGGATGGATGTTGCTCAACCCCTTGCTCCCGCTCTCTGCCTGGTAGCTTGCTGTACTGGAACAGTGAGTTTTACAGCTGAGCATTCAGGAAAGCCTGCAGTTCATACGTGCAGTCATAATTCTGTCACAGTGGTTTAACTTACATGATCATAAAGTCTTTCTACATGCAACTTGATCTTAGTCCAAACTAAGTAGCCAGCCTGTGACGAGCACGTAACCTGCAAATGCTATCTGCTACCTCAATACATCCCGCGCTAGTTAGCCAGGTGTGCCATCTGAGCTGTGTGTGGCATAGCTGAGTGAAGAAGTGCTGTGCTGCTAGGGGAGAAAGGAAAAGACACGCTGAAACGGGTGCCTAGGAGCTTTTCTCAGGATTCAGTAGAGGGTTAACCAGTCATCCATGGGAAGTAGATGTAAGGAAAAATAAAGAGCTCTACAAAAACCATAAAGTACTTCTAGAGTAATTGTCTGGCTTGGGGTGTGAAGACAATTAATTGAAAGACAGAAAATACAGGCCTGGCTGTTTCATGGCCGGCATGGTAACTGTGCCTCATTAATAATAATAATTCATGTTGTAAATGACAAGTGTTTTGATTGCAGGGAAAGGAATACTGTCAGGGAGTACAGCAATTCAGAAAATGAACACCTCTGGTCTTGAACCAAGCCCTCTTTGGTTTAGGAAATGTGTGTGTGTATGGAGGGAGATCTTGAGGTTTGGGGTGGGAGGATTTTGTTTTGTCTTTAAGTTGATGTTTCGGTATTCTGATAGTATAGTGGGAAACTGCTGAGGAAGTGCTGAAAGGTACTTGAGCAAAATGAGCTTTGCACTCAGCTGAGGTGTAGGCCAGCGCTTAGTGGCCAAGATCAAACAGTGGGAACACTTTGATTGTATCTGGGAAAACATTGTCACTTCTCCCTGTCTTGCGAGATTGTTATTCATTTCCTAGAGTAGCAAAGGCAAATGAAATAGGTGATTAGGTTTTTTTACAGTGTACTGTTTATCCATTCTTAACACTCCACTTGGCAATAAATACCGAAATGGGTTTTGAAGGCGTGCTGTATATTGCATCATAAAGTATTACAGCCGCTGTAAATGCAGTGCGGGGCAAGGAAAAGCATTTCTGACGGGTACGGCGTATGAACCGTGTGAAACTGCTGCCTGCAGTGCCTACCAGGGAAAAGTTGCCGCCGTCCAGGTGTCTTGACAGAGTCGCGTTGTGAATGATCGATGGTGTCAACCGCAGGAAGACTTCTGCAGCCGCAGGAAGGTTGCAGAGGTGATGCCCAGCTCTGGGCATGGGGCTGGGACAGCTTTGCCCAGAGCTGTCGCCAGCCTGGGTCACAGCTGCTGAAACACGCAGAGAGGCAGCGGCAACCTGAGAGAAAAGGTTGAAGGTGATGGCATGATGACCCCGGCTGGACTTGATCTGTGTTGTCCGAGCTGCTGCTGTGGGATGGTTGGGTCTGTCTGCCCCATGCCAGTCAGTCGAGGCAGGTGAGAGGGTCCCATGTGCCTGGAGAGCGCTGCAAAAACCGTCCCCGCTCATCGAATAAATGTCATGAGTTGTTAACAAGCATGGTGTCAAGCAGGGCAAAATGTAATTCTCTATTTTTTTTTAATTACTGGAATTAACAGAATATGGCACTAATTTCTACAGCTACCGCTTCTCCCCCTCCCCGAACATGAAGCTTGATTTGTGTTCTTATTAACTTTGTCCTATAAATGACCTTGCGAGGAGAGTGGTTCTGGAGGCTAAGTGAAACAATGTCTATATTTTCTGAAGCTCCAGGCTAAGTTTTATTAATGTAATGTCTAAGATCTTTGAAGTTGTGACTTTACCAGGAAAATCATAATCTCCAAACCTTTATTCATAATGGGTATGACTTCCAGGGGGAACAGAATACCTGCTGTGCTAATTATTTCAATTATCAGCTACTACTAAAACACGTAATGGATTTTCTATGCTTCCACAGGTAAAAGGCATGACATTATGGAACTTAACTCTGATGTTGTGAACTTGATCTCCCACGCTACACAGGAGAGATTACGAGGGCTCCTAGAAAAACTAACTGTAATTGCTCAGCACAGAGTATCAACCCACAAGGTAAAGGAAATCATTAAGCAAGTTTTGCACCAAAGTTTTCCTGCTTTGCAGCCTTGAAGGTAAACCTCTTCCGAGTATAGACATATCATATGCAATATGTGCATTTTCAGTATCTACCAAAGGCTGTTTTCGTTTTAACTGTTTATAGCCTCTAACTATTCCTTGCGTTTTCCAATCGACTTGTTGGATAGGTGCTCTTAAAACTTAGTGTAAGAGTAAATGCCTGTGTTTCTTGTCTTCCATAGAAGTGGTGGCTGTTACACAAAATCTGTCTTGCATGGTAATGTAAAGCTATTTTTGAATGCTCTTGGTGGTGGGGTTGATTTAGGGGCTTGTGTTTGCTTTATGCATTTACTGTTGGTGGAACTGCAGTATTGGCTCTGTAAAAAGCCTTGGGAAACTGAATTGAGTGTTTTATTTTTAGAAAGTGCTCCATGTGAAGGCAGAGACCCCTTTGATCTTAAAGTTTCTGGAACTTCTTTCCCACCAGTGCTACTTAAGATTCCCTCCCCTCCCTCTTGTATTAGCTCCATTCAATATAAAGTATATTGGGCTCCAGTGAGCCAGTATCCCTTAAGATGCTTGTATGGCACAAATGGGAAGCAATAACTTACTAGTGGCCAAAACAGCTCTTTGAGGATTTTTTTTGGTTTTGTTTTTCAATAATAAGGTGTTAGTCCTTACTTTTTTCAGCATCAAGCTGTCAACTCTTAAGTTTTCTATTGTGTGGGTTTTTTTTTTTTTCAACAGGAACTTTATACTTAATGAAATTTAACAAGAGCAACTAAGTCATGGGATAGGAGTTATTTTTGTACTGAGCACTTTTTATAGGCTGTTAAGCACCGGAGAAGCAATAGTAAAGAGCAGGAACTATTTGGAAACTTCCAAGTATTTATAGTGATGTCTGGATCAGTTGGAGTATGCTGTCCCTTGCCAGAAGAAGATGCAGTAGAAAAAAATCAATACAGAAAAAGCATAGTTTTTTAATGAGAAGTCTTGTGTTGTTTCTCCAAAGTAGGAGATCCAGTAGAGCTCGTGAGCAACAGCAAGGTAGAAGCTTAAGTCCTGAGTAACCGGTAGGACTTAGTGTGTTGCAGACACCAAGGACACAAGGGAATGTTCTTGGACAGTGGCCTTGAATGGGCTGATTTCTTTCTCATTGAACTAAAGCAATAGAAAAACTGATAGGTTTTTGTCTGATTGAATTGCCAGAAGCAATGATAAGATTGTAAGACTGCAATAAGCTTGCTTTCTTTTCCTCTTTTCTCAAAAACAAAACAAACAAACAAGAAAGTAATGTGCATAATAATCCTAGAGGCACAGGTATCCTCTTTTGTTAGGAAGATGGTGTTACACTACAGATGAGTGTCCTACAGGATTGCATTTGTGAGTAGTATTATTGTGAGAGATTCGGACAGGCTTTTAGAAATATAAGTTCAAGAACAGAACATGACAGGGGTTTGGAGCCCTGTTATGTATTTGTATATGTATTTGCACAGCCCTGTATTCAATCTCCCTCAGTGCTTGCCCCTATCCTCTTTTCCCTCTAGGCTATTGATAGGTACCAGTGTGCAATGTAGGCTCCATGTGCTTCACAGAATAATCCAGAGCCTTTCCAAGAGGATTGGGTAGCTGCCCTGTAAGGCTTTGTATTGGCCTATCTCCATTACAAAAAGACCAACAATAATAGGGATAGGTGTTGTGGAATCAAGGTAAATATTGTTAGGGCAGAAGTTGGTGTAAAAGCCGATAGCTCATGGGACCATACTGAGGAAACTCTTCTTCCCAGTTTCCTCAGTTCATACCTAGCAGCTTACATCTGATGGCTAGTCTTGCAAGAGAGAGCGAGTTGGCAGGGTAAAAGCTGCGTACCATGCCGCCATGAAGGCTTGCCAGCTTTTGCCCTTGTTTGCTAAATTTAAGGAGAAAAAAAAAATGGTATGTAATTGGAAGTTACTAACTTAATTAGGATAAAACTATCATGCTGGTCTCTATCTGAAGTAGGAACAGCCTTTCTGATTGCTGTAAACTGCTCTCTGTGCTGTGACTCTTGTTGCAGTGCCTTTACAGAGCCTTGGTAAAATTATAAAGGCAATTAGCTAGCTGGTTTGGTTCCTTGGCTGCTTCCCTCCTGTAATCTGAAGGTGTAAGAGTATGCGTGTAACCTAGTATGATAACCAAGACCAGAATTAATAATGGCAACTAAACAATACAGTGATTAAAAAACGTTTTTGATGTGGGTAGATTCAGCACAGCATGAGATGACTGCCATGCTCCTGCCTTTGGAGCCCATGAGCACTTGGCTTCGTGAGGCATGTTACGGTGCTGTGCTATAAACATTGCCCCATGAAAACATTTCCCCATGTGTAGTAGCAGTAAAACACTGCAACCCTAAATTGCACTATCTGTAGGGTGACATGGTGTGGCAGCTGCATGGGTTTAAGGGGTAAGCTCTAAATGTAGCGAAGGAGCGAGCCCTCTTAGGTGTGAAAACAGCCAGCCTCCTCCTACCCAGCCCATGCTGCCATCAAACTGCAGAGTGCAGAAGTTATCAGAAGCTTTTCTGTGATTACTTGGTTTAGGGATTGACTATATAAAAGCCAAAGCTTAATAGGTTCCCACATACAGCTGAGCCTCTGCAACTGCCTGCGTTCCTGCTCTGTCCTCAGCAAGGCTGTTCAATATAACTTAGACTCTTCAGATTTACTGGAAGAAACTGGTCTTTGAGATTCTTCAAACTTCTTTCCTGGTGGACTGCAGTGGAGCACAGCTTCTCTGGATGTGGGTTTTTCCTTTGTGCCCCTGGGCATGCAATACACTCCTGGTGCTAAAACGCAAGAGCCTTAGTCAGGTTTCAGATTCATTTACAGGTATGTGACCATCTGGGAAGCAAGTTGCAAATCACAGACAAGGTGTATGGCTGTTCTTGAGTTTGTTGCCAGCTCTCGTCTCACTAAAGACATACCTGGGAATGCTTTGCTTCAATGCTACGTGTTTCGAATCATGGAATCATTTAGGTTGGATATGTGTAAACCTAATGTAAAAATTTTGGTAGGAATTGGCTGTGCTTTAGAGTGCATCTGTGGAGAAGTCTTGAGTATGTACATTTCTCTTGAAGAGGGGGGAAAAAAGTGTGGGGAATGGATTTCATAACAGGATTGTATATGTGCACTAATGTGCTGTTGTTGTATGGAAATAATAGCTTCTTTCAGGATAATAAGTGAACTCTGCATTAAATTTAGCTCAGCTAAAGTAAAAATTACTTTTTAACTGTCAAATATGCAAGTTCTGCTTTTGCACATGCAAATCTAACCACACACTGTATTGCAGTTACATACTTTATCACCAAGTTAAATTCTGTTTTCGATTACGCTTGTACCTTTAGTTTTGTTGGGATTGCACTGTTGTAGCTGGGGACAGTTTGGTCTTATGTGAGGAAGTTACACTGTTATATGGACAAAAACTGAATCCAACTTAGTTCATCCTAACAGTAGTGGCTACAAGTTATGGACAGATGTACAATAAAATCTGTTCTGTCTAAGCATTTTGGTGCTAAATGATCACGGAGAACAAGTTTATTGAGTAGGACAAAATATAACTGCAGGTGTTCCTCTTATGAAAAGACCTGAAATAAGGTATTTTAAAAACATTTGATGAGCTGAAATACTGTTATTAATGCACCCATTTCTTGTCCCATGTAAGCTTATGGTAGTGCATTGGGGTGCCTCTGCTTGAGAGGCTTGCATTCTGAATTGGCATAGGGTCTCGGATTTGGCTTTAAAAACCTAAGTATGTGTCTAACTCCCAACTTTGGCCATTCCAAAGCAAAACACTTCTAAACTTTGTGAAAAGTAGTTTCTTCTTTGTCCCTTGAGAAGGATTATGGCATGGTGGTGTATTATTATAAACTGCTACTTCAAAACAAGTTGTACTGATGTACTGACACTGACTTGAAGTAGTGTATGTTTTGTGGGGAGCAGCAAAAAGGAAAAAAAAACCTCAAGCAGTAACAGAAGAAGGGGGAAAGGTGGTTTGGACATTTTGGAGAGCCGCAGACTCTGGTTGGGAAAGAAAGGCTCCTTGGTTGCAACACGTGGTGTGGTGTGAGCCACAGTTGATGATATGTGGCAACATGGTGGCTCGTTGAAAAGGACCAAACTTAATACCAGAAGAGGAATTGATTTCATGCTCTGGCTGAGTTGTGAGAATTCAGACTGGGAGACAATGGTGCCCCACAAGAAGACTCTCACTTTCCTCCCAGCTTTTGAAAGTATATGGCTGGGTGTGGGAAGAAGAGTATAGAAATGCCTAAAATACAGCTGTAAAATATGCTGTGCTTGTTCCAGAGCAGTTGTGTGTGAAGGTAGAAAGGAGGGGTGCTAAAAGTATATAGTGTGTTTGGCTGGTAAAAGCCCAAGGATAAATTTCTCAGGAAAAGACAAGTTCACAAAGTAACAGAGAAAGATGATGACTGTAGGATGTGCATTAAAGAGTGGTACAAACAGGTGGCACAGACGTGTCTCATCTCGAATGGGCTTGTGTTGCCTAATGCCCTCTGGCCAACGCATGGCTTAAATAACCTGTCTTTGGAAGAGCAGAATAGTAAAAGCAAGCTTTTCATTGCCAGGTGACCATGTTTTAGATATTTCCTTTCTCTGTCTTCTTTCCTATCTGAAGTAAAACTAAACTCAGATTTTTCCAGCGAAGGCAAAAATAGTATGAAAAATAAACTACTGATTGTTATTTTTTTAGACCAAAAGGACCATAGTCTTGTTTCAATGCATGTGCAGTTGTTGGAACTACTCATTAGTATTCCCTGGCCCAGCTTTGCACAGGGGGCTGGACCAGATGGCTTCCACAGGTCACCTGTCAACATAAAACTATTTTGTGACTTGAGATCATCCACCGAGGTAAAAATATGTATTCCTAAAGCCATAATAAATGATATATAATATATGTCGCTTTCCCCACCCCCAAGATTCACTATAAGTAGTTTTAAACCATCCCTCTGCTCCATAAAACCTCTTTTTGGAAATACCAGGTGAGGCTTATTTCAAATTCTGGATTAAATGGCTGAAACTAGAACACCAAACACTAGAAACTTAAAATGTCAAATTTTACTTTTTCTTTGCCTTTCTCTTTAAAGAGGAAAGGAGGAAAGGATATGATGTTCTGCTGCTTTACAGTTCTTGGTTTTGTTTTTTTTTTCTCTTAACCTGTCCAGAAGACAGTCTTGTATGCATGTTTACTGGATATGAAGTTGCTGTTTAAACCCAAATTTAAGCCTTTAGACTTAAAGACTTCATTGTTGTTATGGTCAATATAGACTAGAAGTTGTTAGTGTCACTTGTTCAATAACCTCTTACTAGTCACAGATGCCAGGAAACATGCTTCAGCAGAGAGGAAAGGTGTAAATGACTATCTTCCACCTGAAGTCTTTTTCAAATGGCCTACGCTTTTCAGCTTTGAAAAAAGTGTTCTTTTCAGGTTGCTCCCACTGGGTTTATTAGCTCTAGTGGTGTAAATAAAAGTCTGGTTGTCTATAACAAACTTCTCTTTCCAGGGGAGTGATAAATACATAGTATCTAGTGACACCAGAGCACAGCTGAGATTTCTTGAAAAGCTTGATCACCTGGAAAAGCAGAGAAAGAATGAAGAGGAACGCGAAATGTTGCTTCGAGCAGCCAAGGTAAGAACACTTCTTGCTTTCCAAGGAAGTAGTGGTGTCCTTAAGACTGATAACATCTTCAGATTTTTCCTATTTCTGTGTTAAATGTAGTAACCATTAACCCTGTTACTGGAAATCTGTAATGTTTACGTTAGTTTGGGCTATACAAAAAAGGATTTTAGCTTTTTACATTCAAAAAAATCACAGGAGTTCTTTCAAATGTGTGATGGGGTCAACTCTTCTTTTGAGATTATTCTTACTGGTCAAAATGAATAGAATCATAGAATCGTTTAGGTTGGAAAAGACCTAAGATCATCAAGTCCAACCATTAACCTAACACTGCTATTCCACCACTAAACCATGTCCCTAAGCACCTCGTCTGCCCGTCTTGTAAATACCTCCAGGGATGGGGACTGGACAAAATGGAAGTAGTATTCACATAGCTGTAAATGTCCTTCCTTAGCTCTATTTCTGGCTCTGAAATTGGCATGTCTTTCTCCATATCTGTGTGTGGCACTGTTTGAAAATGTGGGTTCACTATGCTTGTTCAAGCTGGAGCCTGGTGAGATCCACCGCCCTGCCAGATGTAGGTTTTTCTGTAGTCAGATCAGCCTTGGAGCTAGTACCCTAGCATTTGCAAACCCCTGATGGAGCCATGCTAGTGCAGAATAAGTACCCTTCTTCCCCCTTCCCTCCCCTCAATAACAGGAGAAAAAAAATAAATCAGTAGACATTGCTCCATCAGATGTGACTTGATCATCTTTTGTTTGCTGTTTTTTTGGTTTTGTTTCAAGCTGAATTCTGGAGCCCCTTGGGTGGAAGCCTAACCTAGACTTGAAAGAATCATGTTGTACTTGCATGAGTACGACTCCCTTTCTTTCCTATACTTCCTGTCCTTTTTAAGTGTCTGCTGCTGACATGAACAACATCATGCCTAGACTGGACCTGACTGACAGCGTTAGCATCATTTTCAGCTTAATCTTGCTTCAGGCTAGAGCAGAGGCAGCCGGCCCAGATGAGGAGGGGGGTGTGCGTATGCGCGCGGAGGGGGAGGGAAGCCAGTCTGGATTGAGGCATTCGCCCCTGGAGCTAAATCTTTCAATCACTGGAGAAAATTGTCATTTATTAAATATTTAACGGATACGATGGTGTTTGGATGCCAGTAATTTCTATTCAATCTTTTTCCTCTTCCTTTGGTAGAGCCGTTCCAATAAAGAAGATCCAGAGCAACTGCGGTTAAAGCAGAAAGCGAAAGAGGTAGGACTTTCCAGTTACCATGCTTGCCTTTGTGTGTTCAGAGAAGGTTGGCAGCCCTGTCCTGGCAATTAGGTCAGGGTTTATTTTGCTGCTGCATACCATTTGCAGAGGCCTTGGGGAAGGACAGGAACTGCCACAGGCAAGGGCAGTGCTTCAAATGAGGTCAATGAATTATGAGCTCTTTTTTACATTTTATTTTTGTAGTTTCAGTCCTGTCTAGAAATGGTCCTTTGTAAACTGCAGCAGTACACTTGGTAGGAATATAATGTGGGATTAGGGGGGGAAAAAAAAGAAACTTTGAGATTTAGCATCTGGGACTGTACAATAGGCTACATTTTTCCAGGGTAATTGTTCGTTTTGTAAATCTGATACTGCTTATAATTCTTTGGCTGGGAGGCGGTACTGGGATTTAGTTTTAAATGGAAAACGCCTCTGGCTTTTAATTTTCTGGGCCCAGCAGTTTTCTGTTCTGGAATGGAGCCCTTGTTTCACACAGTTCATGTTTAGCTGCAGGGGTTTTAGTTTATAGCTTAGACTGGTTAAGCTTTTACTCCCAGAGGCCTCTGCATAGCAACTGTAGAAATCAACAAATAAGTTCATTTATGTCTGCAGCCTCCTCTCAGTAGCTGACTTTTTACATTTCCCAATATCCATTTCCTGACTTTTCTAGCCTGAGAGAAAAAAGCTCCACTAATTGGAGCTTATTTTAATTGAGCCTTAATATTGGATCTCACTGGAGTTGCCCCCAGAGCTACTGGGAACAGAATGAAATGAAAGTACCTAAGGTTGAAGATGTGTGTGCGTGTGTATGTGTGTGTGAAATTTTTCACTTGACCTACAGATTCTTTTCCCTGCTGAATAAATCATCAAGCCTGTTCACATTTCTGATTAAGGATCTGACAGCAGACGATAATAAAGACAATTGAGGTGTGAGACGTGTGATACAGAGCTGAAGAAATTGGTTTCTATAGTTACTTGACTGATTTCATGCAATTTTAAGGATCTTTGTGCTAAATGAGAGTGATTTTCTGAGCAACCTTTTTCCTTAACTGTGCCTCTTGAACTATGAAATTTGTTGTTGCTTAACATTGCTGTGCTTGGCTCCTAGGTGCCAGCAGCAGCAGCAGGTTATTTATGAATGCTTTAAAGGCCCTTATTGTTTGGATTAATGTAGGAGCCCAGGCAAAACAAATGGAAATCCAGTAAAATAGTATTAGAATCAATGCTCTGGATTTGCACCATAATAGAAGAAATTTGTAAAATAAGAGGAGAGGGAAGGGACTTGCTTTACTATCTATCTTTTAATTCTTTCTTTCTGTTTATAACTCTTTTTTCATGCTTACAATCTGTGAGTACAAAGTTGCCCTAAAGCACTTCCCAGTTTGCCTCTAGTGCCACCAGGATCAACAGTCAGTGGGTGACGCTAATTTGTCTTGTTTTGTAGGTGGCTTTACCTCTGCATCATCTGGTCATTTCTAGAGGTTCTTTCTTTTAATAAAACACTGCAGTGTGATTCATTTCTGTAGCTGCTTTTCTCTTTTTCTCTGAACAATAATGCATCTTGAAAAATATTCCATGATTGGGGTATTTAGAGCAGAAAGAAGTTAGGTATGTGTTTTGGGTCTTTTTTTTTAGATTGGTTGGTATTGTTAGGGAGATGTCTTTTAAAAAGTGGCATATAGGTGTACAGAGAAGGAGCCAACAGTAGAGAAAGTGTCTAAGTTTGGTGCTTGGTGTTCTACTAAGTGCTTGAGTTCACCTCCTTTAGTGCATCTTATCTTGTGCCAGACAAACGCAGCCTTCATCGCACTTGTCCTGCATATTTCTCCACGCTGTGCTCCTCCCAGAGTGACGGTCTCCAGCTGCTTCACCAAAGGAAGAGGAGGCAGATGTGCCTCTTCGGACAACGCAGATCTTTGTGTTGGTATTGCCTTGCCCTCTCCTGCTGCTCTGTTCTCTGCAGAATGAGGCAGCCAGAACTTCTCCAGGCTTCATGTGCCACACGGGAAACCCACCTTTTGTGCCAGGGGTGCTTTCTTTTCTGTGAGGCTGTCTCAAGCTGGAGTGGAAATAAGCCCAAATGCAGTTTTGGCACTTTATTGACAGCTTGGAGATAGATGGTCAGCACACTTCTGCATTAAAAAATGCAAACATGAGTCGAGCTGGAATAAGAGCAAAATAAAAATCAACAAATATCCCAAGGCTGAAACTGGTAACACAGAAGCATAGTGTATACTGGGATGAAAGCCTGAAAGGGCTCACCATTGTCTGTATGTCTGTCTTGTCATGTTTTGAGTGTAGCCTGCTCCTAAGAAACCACACTGGGGAATTTTGATACCTCTGTCAGCTGGAATCATATCCTTTCCAGGCCACTCCAGTTGAATATTCACTGGAAAGCTTGATCTGAGCCTCTTAAAGTTCTTTAGGAATGAATATGGGCCTTCCTTCCTCAAAGCTGTCTTTTATGTGTTGATGGTGATCCCTGGGAGAAGGGAGGTGGTGTGGGGTGATGGCACTGGAGCATGTTCTAAAGCAGTGTTTCCCAAAATGCAGAGTGTACATCCTAACAATGAATACTTATAAATCCAGGATGTGCTGTCATCCAGCAGCTGGAGGCAACATCTTAACATTGCTGGAAGTACATCTAGAGACTCGCAGTGGATTCTATTATCCAAAAGGCTGTACATAATTGCTGTGACCTTTTCATCCCTCTTTGCATGACCTATTGCCTCAAACTTCCCCTATGTTAAGTCATTTACTTTCCTATATTCTTAGTCTATGTAGCTTGCTATGAATTAAGTCTTTGTTTACTTCCCCCTTTCACCTGTTTCAGCGGATTTTAATACCTACAGAAAGTGCACATTCCTTCTGAGACAGCTGCAAGGCTTGCCCCAAGCTGCTCCTTTGTGCACTCAGGAATTTTGTCCTTGCTCACCTCATGGGCCAGCTCTTTGTGCAAAGGCGTTCCTGAAGCCTGGGTAAATTACCCCTGCTTTTCATTCAGCCTTATCTGCCACTTCAAGCTGAGAGGATACAGTCTTCTCATTGTCCCTGATGCCTGCACTTTTAAACCATAACTTTTTTTAGGTGCTCTCTGCTATTTCCTGTTCTACTTTCAACTACACTTCATCCATTACAAAAAAAAAAAAGCTCAGTTGATGTGATTCTTGTAGCTGTATTTATAGTTTATCTCTGGCTTCATCCCTTCTCTGAAATGAGCTTACTTAAATTGAGTAGGTGTAGGATACTGTCAAATGCGCAAGCATGCCATATGAACAGTGCCTCCCAGAAGACCTGTAAAAACGTCAGTATTAAGCAGTGTGTACTGTAAATTTAAAGATAAACCCTGATCTTTTGTACTTCTGTGTCTCGTCTTCAAAAGCGAGTGTGCTTGTAGTACGGCTTCAGGAAGCTTAAGGCTGAGCAAACCTTTCAGATGGTATGTGTGCAAGATTGCTGCTTGGGGTTGAGCAGGTGAACAGGTATTGTACTGATAGCATCTTTGCTTATTCCATAGTAGCTAACTTCCTCTCTACTCGTGGCACCTTGCAGCATCTATCGATGGATAAAGGTGAGCAGCCACATCTTGACCTAGGGGAAGGAGCCTGTGGAGCAAGCACCTGATGGACAGCAGACTTGCCCGCCCCGTTCCTTGCTCCTCCAGCAGCTCTGTTCACTTATGGCTGCACAGGTCTTCCCAGTCCCTTGTTCTTGCCTGCTTGATGCACTTGTGCATTTTACTGCTATGAATTTTGACACAGACATCACAAGACGGCAGCAGATGAGATGCTGAGAAAATTCAATATCTTTAGTATCAACTGATTGGGAGGAAAATAGCAAACCCTAGTTTTTTTTGTAGAGACAAAACAAATGCCATCAAAAACATCAACTGTGATTCCAGCGAGTTCCCGAGTGCTATATAGTAATGAGTGAAATTCAGCTGTTCTGTAGAATCTTTTTTCAAAAATCATCTTTTTATTCCATTTCATGTGTCCATCCTAATTCTTTCCCTTATTTCCTCTCACATTCTCAGATAACGAGTAACTGTAACCTCATTATTTGCTGCTCTCTCTGCCAACTCCAACCCACACTTTCAAGCTGTTTTTTTCCTTTTTCCCCACACCTCTTGTGCTGCTTCTGTATTTAGTCTTCTGAACCTAATGGTTCAAACTCTTTAAGACCACTCTTGCGGCAGGGGAAAAGGAAACTCCCTGGTTAACCATAACCTCTCAAAAAAGCAAACACAAGATGCTGCGAGCAAAATAAGATCTCATTGCGATCAATTGGCTTTTTTATGAGCCTTCAGTGACATCCTGAGAGCTTCTGCTTAATTGTCTGATTTGTATTATCTTTAATGTTCTGTCATGTTTCTTACCTGCTTCTGCATGTTTTAAAAAAAAAAAAAAAAGAGCAGGATTACTGAACAGACATACATTTTGCTACCTGCATTGTAGCCCTGCAAATAGCAAAGGGCTATCATCAGAGATTCGGTGTGTTACAAGTCTTGCAGAAAGTCAGGGATGGAAATCCTGTCAAGTGTTAGATTACTGAGCAAACTCAAAAGTGAACCAAATCCCTGTTTTGTGGCATTCATCTTGGTGTTTTGAAGAAGCATAAGAAAAGAGCAGCTGAGATGCTGCATCGGGTACCCTAAAACCAGCTGGCTGGAAGATGATAGCAATTGTCTTCATTAAGTGAAAAACAAAAGCCCTCCCCAAAACTCCATTAAGCCTGTTCTTGGATTTTCAAATAGCCTTTTCTAAGTTTCTCTGAGAGACTGTAATGGACATGTAATCAGCTGTGAAAGTATGGCCTTGGATTAGAAACTTGCTAATAGAGGAAATTTTAGGACTGAAAGTACAACAAAAAGATGATAGTGGAGAGCCAGAGTTCTGTGCCAAGAATGAGGG